GTAAAAAGTTTTTTTGTCCCATTCTAAAATCAGTGTCAGGGGAAGTGACATTTTCACTAAGTAGTCTCTAGACCAGATGCTTAACTTTTAAAAGAGTAAAGATTAGTNCCCCTGAGATGCCCTGATTGGTTCCTGTGTTTGTACCCTCCCCACCTTAAATTGGAGCGCACGGAGGTGCTCCTTGCTCAGACCGTCCTACCCTTGACCTTTCCAGTCCTTCCCCCATCCACTGCTCCCGACCCTGGAATAAAACCTGGTTTCTGGAGAGAACCTGGGACTCTGAGCCTCCTCCTTGCCTTCATCGGGCACCCACGACGCACCTGAGACCGCAGAGCTTGGTGGCTTACAGGCTCTGAAGGTTCGGTCTGGGACAACGAGCTCCCGGACCGTTCCCCACTCCCGGCGCTGCCAGCGGCTAGGGAGCAGGAGCTAGCCAGGGCGAGGAGAGCCGCGGCAGGGGCAGCGTCACTGGTAGATCTAAGTTTGGCCACACTTCCACACAGGAGTGGATCATCCTTATTTTATCTAGCTTTTTCGTCACTTCCCAATCTTCCCATTTGTCCAATAATTTCCCTAAGGAACTATTAGGAGGGATATTCTTGGCTCTTTTCCCCTTATCTCTTTTAATACTTGTCTTCTTGCTCATGCACCCTCCCATGTTTCCAGGCCTCAAACTTAAACGGATAATGTGCCCCTACCCAAACTAAAATTTAACGACGGGCAACACAAATCTGAACCACAACCAAACTTTCCTGGCCTTTACCGTAAAGAGTATCTAAAAAAAAATCTATGCCTCTGTCCAAAGAAATCTTTAAAACTACTCAACTTTTCGCTCCCTATCCAAGTCAGGGTCCACCTGACCCTTTCTCTGAGGTAAGGTCACAGCGGGGCTTGCAACCCTGCTTGCCCCTCCCTATACCCCTACCCTATCCAAGAGGTGCCTCAATCTTTCATCCTTCACTCCACCCTGTTCCCGGCCGGCCCCCTCGTGGGAGTCCGGAATCGCGGTACTGAGGGGTCCACTCTCACTTCGGGGGTCTGAGCTGCCGGCCCCCGTCTTATTTACACCCCACTCGCACGCCTCTATTCCCACCACCAGATGTTCTCACCACTCCGGCGCTCCTCCGTGTCGCTTATCCCCCGCTGATTCCCAGGGTCCGGGGGTCACCAGCAATTCCCGAGGGTCCCACAAAGCAGGCAGCCGTCCTGTCAGGGGTCTCCAGTGGGCATGGTGATCCCGGACGAGCCCCCAGCTGATAAAAACAGGGCTAGGAGACCTTCTTCTCCTGTTTTAAAGCCTTTATTAGAATCAGCTTGGGGTGGGGGCCCAACAGGTCGCGCGCACACCACTGTTGCTTCCCAGGAGCGACTCGGAGGAGGACGAATGCGGTTCTTCCTACGGGGTGCAATGTAGGCAGAGCCGGGATCTCTGTCCTCACGGGTAAACCCAGAGTCCCTTTTTGGCTCCAAAGTCCAGGGATGTCATTCTTAGCGAGTCTCTTATCGGTCATGGCGAGGAGAGCGGAGTTGGTGGGTAGTGCCTCTCAATTCCGACTCTAGGGCATTGCTCTTGGTTCTTCTATTTCGTGTTCCGATACTCCGTGGATCGGGTTTCTTGTCCGTGATCGTGTTTTTTGGTGTCAAATTTACATAAACCCCGGTCGCCATGTTGGGAAGTCTCTAACTCCGGCAGTGATAGGGCAGGGCTAACAAGGATCACTTTGACATAGAACTCAGAACCGGAACACTTCTAACTCAGAGCCTGGAACAGAGGCTGTAAAGAACACTTTTGCAAAAACCCCGATTTTAGGTAAGGCCTACTCATATCAGTCCCAACTCTATTTCTTTGATCGGGTTATAAACCCACATCAATTTGCTGTTTCAGAATCTTGGATGTAAATTCCTTTCAGGTTTTGAAATCTGAGATAGATTTCTTTAGCGCCTTCCTGGTTTGTGTTGTCAGGACTTTTTAGTGCCATTATTTTACTCATTTCTCCTGACTGCTTTAATTCTTCAGGGGCCATAAGGTTTGCTTTTACTGTGGTAGTAATCAATCGGGTCACACAAGGAAGTATGCACGGCAAGAAAACTAACCCAGTAACTGCACAAATGGTAATAAATGCGATTTTCTTCCACCACTCTCCCTTCCAAGACCAGAACCCGTCCCACCAATTTGTGTTGACTAGGGGTGTCCACTGCTGGGTTCCTACATAGGCAATTTTTCTAATTCCTTGGGATATATTTTTAATTACTTCATTCTTGTCATTTATTTCCGGACAACATTCAGAATTATTAAATTTACCACAGATTCCTCCTTCATCAGCGAGTAGATAGTCGACTGCTAGCCTAATCTGGTAGATTACAGACCGAGTTTGGGTTAGTTGATCACTGATGTGATCAAGAGCCAGGGCAGTCTTATTGGAAACTATTTCAAGTACAGCTTGCAGCCGAATTATTCTATTCAGCATATAAATTGGGGTCCGATAACCCCAGGACCCATCTTGGACCCAGGTAGCAGGTCCATAAGTTTTGATTATTTCTTCCGGGGTTCAGATTTTCCCTTTCCACTCTTGATCACCCCCCATTTGGATGGTCCCTTGCCTTTGTCGGTTTTGGTTCTTTCTTAAATCATCAAATAGTGGAATCCCTAGATTCGCCCCAAGTTCCTTTGGCAATAGAAAGAAAGTAGGCTTTACTATCCCCATCGTGCAGGTACCTGCCCAATTGCTTGGAAGTTTCGTGTATTCAGTGTCTCCACAAAACCAGAACAAGTGTTCTGGTGTCTCCCAGAAATTGTTACTGATCTCTGAAGGGGACTGCCAGAATTTAGACAGTTCCTTTATGGCCCAGAAGGGATTTATCTCCTGGCCTGCACACTCATATAATTGATGCCCTTCGTGAAAGGTGCAACTGTGAGGGTTCTCCTCTATAGACCAATACCTCACAGGGGCCCTAGGCACCCATCGAGTTACTGCTTTTTTAACCTTCCGATAATGTTTACATGCCATGTCTCCTACTGGGACATCAAGTCCTTCCCCTCTCCTCAAAATGCATTCCTCACCTATGACCTTGTTCTTTAAACTCCATTGTTACATTTTTCTTATTCCTAGAGACCGGAGTTCTGGCTTGCTTTTCTTCCACTTGAGTAGTTCCAATGGTCCTAGGCTAATACCTTCCCAAGGCCAGATATCAGTCATTTGAGTGTTACCACACACCCAGCAGTTGGTTACATTCAGTTCCCGACTTACTCTCTCCACTAGGTCCACAAATAGGTTTTTCCCTTTTGGAAGGTCTAATTCTCTTCCCACATCCTTGGGATTAGTTATTTCTTTTACCAGGTCAATGGGTCTATTTTGCCTTAATTCATTCTCAAAACACAGCCATTGTCCTACAGGACACTCCCCCAGTATTCTCTGCCAATATGTGGCAGTATTTTTAGCCATCCAATATCGCCGTCCATCTTCCTGACATGGCGTGGCTAGAGAAGAGTTTATGCATCTAAGATTCAGATTTGTGTGGATCTGTAGCAAGGAACGCTTCTCCTCTTCGTGGTAAAGAGGTTGATAGCACTTGGTGCATGGTCCTGATGGATCTCCCTCAGAGACCTGAATTAGCAGGAGCCACACCATACCCCCTAGGAGTCCGGTACAGGCCATCATTGGAGATCAGCCTACCCGGTCTTGCCTCCTGGGATTTCCAAAGGGGTGCACAGGAGAAGTTCCTTCTGTTCTGAATCCTCTTCTCAACTTCCTTATAGGGGAGATCCTAGCAGGGGTTTTGGCCTAAACTCCAGAGGACCCTAAGATACTCTTTTTCGTGGAAGCAAAGTTTGCCTTTCCCACTGAACTACAGCAACCTTGTAACAATCTTCAAGTTAGAAGTGTACCTACAACCTCATAACAGTTTTACAACTAAGGATGCAACAACCTTTTACAGTTTCAAGAAGGCAATAACAATCTCTAACAATGTTTATAATTTCAGAAATGTAATTAGTGTTGGTTTTAAGTTCAAGGTCTTTTCTTACTGGAGGTCTTCTTTCTGAAAATTAATCTTAAGGCCTCTGGGTCCTTAGACACTGTCCACTGAGGGGGTTCCACTGCAGGTTTAGGATGGCCTTGTTCCGGGTCAGGGGGTGTCACTGGTCCCTTTACTCTAGTGATGTGTGTCCATCCTCTTTCTTGCGTTCGCACTGCAGTGCTCGTCGTGAGGAGGACCTGGAAAGGCCCCTCATACTTATGAGTCAGTGGGGCAATAGTCCAGGATTTAACCAGTACCCAATCTCCCGGGTTGATGTTGTGCACTCTGACATCTAATGGAGAAGTCTGAGGGAGATAACCTTTTTTACGTAAGTCCTCTAAAGTTCTTCCTATAGCACTTTAACCAATTCATTTTTGTCTCTTCAATCAACTTAGTAAGTACATTTTTCAAAGTTTTATTCATTCGTTCCACCCTGCCAGAGCTCTGGGGGTGCCATGGGGTATGTAATTCCCACTTCATCCCTAACGCCTTCGTAACCTGTTGCAAGACCTTTGCTGTGAAATGTGGACCCCGGTCTGAATCTATGCAATTTACTAGTCCATATCGCGGGATGATGTCTTCCAGTATGATCTTGGCTACCACCTGGGCTGTTTCCTTTCTTGTAGGAAAGGCTTCTACCCAGTGGGTCAGGTGATCAACTATGACTAAGAGGTGTTTGTAACCTTGCAACAGAAGCATCTCTGTGAAATCTATCTGTACACTTTGGAATGGTCTTTGAGCTATTTCTCTCTCCCCGGTTCTGTTTTCTTCATGACCTTCTGATTAACTTTTTGACATATTACACACCCCCTAGCGATAGCTTTAGCCAGCCCATACACTCCCACGCATAGATTCTCCCTCAGGAAGTGATCACATAACCCCTGTACTCCCAAATGTGTTTGTTCATGTAATTCAGTGAGTACTTTCCTGGCTAAGAGTTGGTTTAAAAACTGTTGCCCATCTGGAGTCAGCCATCTTCCCCCTCACTCTTGGTGTAATCCCAGTTCTTCAATTGCTTCTTTCTCTTTTTCACTATATATTGGTTCCATGTCCCCTTCCTTCTGCTCTTGTGCCTCCCTCAAGTGGAGGGATTTAACTGGATCTTCTAGCCCCAATGTGGCCTCTTTCGCTGCCTGGTCAGCTATCCTATTTCCCCTCACCTCTAGAGTATTACCTCTCTGGTGTCCTTTTATATGAACTATAGCTATTTCTGCTGGTTTTTGTAGGGCTTCCAAAAGTAGTTTAATTAATCTCTCATGAATTATATTCTTCCCCTTTGAGTTGATATAACCTCTTTCCTCCCAGATCTTCCCAAATATATGCACTACTCCGAATGCATATCTCGAATCTGTGTAAATGGTTCCTGAGTTTTCTTCTAGCAATTCCAAACCCCTTTTTAGAGCATAGAGCTCACAACTTTGTGCTGACCAGTTCGATGGCAATTTCCCTTTTTCTATTATCCTCATTGTTCTCCCATCTACTACCGCATGCCCTGAGACCCTCATTCCACCTGTCATCCTTGAAGATCCATCTATAAACATGACTTCACCGTGCGGTAAAGGTTTATCTTCTAAATCTTCCCTCACCTTTGTTTCTAATGATATAAACTCAATGCAGTCATGTTCCAAGTTCTCTAGGGGTTCCCCAGAAAGGAACTGGGCTGGGTTTAAACACTTGGAAGTGGCAATCTCTAAATTGTCAGCATTCATCAGAATGATTTCATATTTCAATATTCGGGCATCAGTGAGCCACTGCTGTGCTTGCTGACTGAGCACCGTTCTCAAATCATGTGGGGTATGCACTTTTATCTTCCCATGTAGTGTTAATCTCTGGGCCTCTTCCAGCAAGACAGCAGTGGCTGCAACTGCTTGCAGACACACTGGCCATCCCCTGGCCACTGGATCCAGTAATTTAGATAAAATATGCCACCGGTTTCTTGCGGTTTCCCCGTTCCTGGGTTAATACCCCATATGCTGTCACACCTTCTCTATCTATGAACAAATCAAACCCCTTGCTTAGGTCTGGTAGGCTCAGGACTGGGGCTGTGGACAACTTGCTTTTCAAGCCTTGCAACTGCGCTTCATCCTCTTCTGTCCAGTGTATAAGTTCTGGGCTGACTAACTTCCCATAAAGGAATCTTACACATTCTGGATATCGTTCTATCCACCACCTGCAGTACTAACTACTACTAACCCCAGCACTTTCCTCACATCCTAGTTTTTGGAGACTCAATGGATAGGATCCCTGAAATCCTCTCCGGGCTTAACTTTTTATATCCATTTCCAATCAAGTGGCCTAAGAACTTCACCTCTGGTTCTACAAATTGTAATTTACCTTGTGATACCTTCAATCCTTGTTCCCCTAAGAAATTCAGACATCGTATACTGGTATTTTTCACTTGACTTTGGCTTTCTCCTGAGATCAGTAGATCATCCACGTACTGGAGGATTTGTACCCCTTCTTCCAAATCAGATTGTTCTAACAATTTCTCCAATGACTGCCCAAAGAGGTTAGGAGATTCTGAAAATCCTTGGGGAAGATGTGTCCACCTAAGTTGTTGTTTTCTCCTGGTAGTGGGATCATCCCACTCAAAAGCGAACCAGTCCCTACTTTCTTCTGCAAGGGGACATGTCCCAAAAGCATCTTTCAGATCTATGGTTGTGAACCATTGATGTTCTCTTGGCACCTTACTGAGGAGTGTGTAAGGGTCTGGCACAACTGGGTGCCTAGAGATAGTTTTCTTGTTGACTTCCCGTAGGTCCTGCACTAGGCTGATAACTTCCATCGGCCTTCCTCACTGCCAAGATAGGTGTGTTATGGGGGGACATACAGGGCTCTAGGACCTCTTCTTCTAACAATTGTCTGATTACTGGGGCTAGCCCCTCTCTTCCTTCCAGTGAGATGGGGTATTGTTTAACCCTCACTGGTGGGGTATCTTTCACCATTTCCACTGTTACTGGGGGTATCTTCAAGAGTCCCCTTTTCCCTTGCCCAACCCATACTTCTGGGTTAATTTCTTTCATCTCATTTTGGGTAAGTGCCATGATCTTTACTATCATCCTCCCATCCTCAGGGATTACTCCCACTCCTGAACAGATTTGAAGGTTTCTACCCAGTAAGTTACTCTCCAGCTTTGGTAAGTAAATAAAATTCACTTTGCATTGCTTAGAGTTTCCCCATATCTCTACATTTTCAATCACCGGAGCTCTAAATGGTTTCCCCTCCACTCATATCACCTCACACATCTTCTCACTTAAGGTGACTCCCGATGGCAATTTGTTTATACTGGATGTTTCAGTCCCAGTATCTATTAAAAACTCCATATCCTCCCTCAATGGACCCACTTCAAAGTTTGCCAAGGGCTCCATCAGATGTTTCATGGGGTCCTCCACTATATAAAGCCCTCGACACCTAGTCATCTCCTTTTGAAACTTTCTCCAAAAGATCTTGTTCTAGGACAATGGCTTTGTCAAACCCTAACTTTTTATAGTCCTTCTGAAAATGCCCAATCTCATCACAACAGAAGCAGCGTCCTACTCTTGTTTTCCCCGGTCTTTCTGGATAACTCTTCCACGGTTTTGCTGGCCTTGGCCTTTCTTGACTGGTTGCTGCCAGTGGTCCCCTTTCTGATCCTGCACTTTATTTAGCAACTGCTACCATTATCTTAGCTTTTGTTCTAGTTTTTTCTTCTTCTCTCCGTAGATACACTCTGAGGGACTCCCTTAGGAGCTCATTAATACCTTTTTCTTGCCAGTCCTCCATCTTTTCTAATTTTCTTCTGATATCCGGCCAAGCCCTTGTCACAAATTGTATCTTTAGAAGCATCTGGCCTTCCGGGCCATCTGGGTCAATGTTTGAATGCAGCTGGAAGTTTCGTTTCAACCAGTTTAGCCAAGCCGCCAGAGTCTCATCCTTTTCTTGCGAACCATCAAATGCCAGTTTAGTGTTACTCCCTCTGGGGACACACTCTTTTATGCCCCTCACCATGAAGGACCTATATTCCCTCGTGTTTCTCCTCCCTTCCTCCTCATTGGGGTTCCAGTTGGGATCTCCTAAGGGTACTTTTTGATCTCCCGGGGGCCCTGGTTATTATCTCGTTCCCAAATCCGTATTCCCGCCATCCTTATTAGTCGGACCTCCTCCGGGGAGAACAGTATGTTAAAAATTGAATTGAGTTCTCCCCACATATATGGGTTGGGTCCCAGGAATTGGTCCACCTGATTAGCTATTCCCACCAGGTCCTCCACCAAGTTCCCCATTTCCTTCTTGAAACTTCTGACTTCTGAAGCAGTCAAAGGAACATTCACAAACCCGATGCCACCAGCTGCCCCCCCCATAGGGACCTCCCTAAGAGGGAACAGTTTTTCTACCTTGCAAGTTTTGAACCGAGTATTACAATACGGTCTGTCATCTGCCTTAGGACCATCTGCTTGAGAGGAAAGTTTCTGTTGAGGGCTAGTAGTAGCACCAAACTGTGGGGTGACAGTAGGTGGGGGATCACCGAAGTTTGCAGAGGTGAAGGTGACAACGATGATGTTGGCTTGCTCAAATCCCAATTAGGAGGAGGTAAGGGAATGATGACTGGGGAAGGAGTTATAGGAGGGGTAGTCATTGGGAAGGGCGGAGGTGGCAGAGGAAGGATTGCTGTAGGAGGGGTCACGTGAACCTGAGAGGGACCCGGAGGTTGGGATTTGGGAGATTTGGGAAATAGCAGGAAAACTCGGAGGGGGCAAGTAATCAAGGGGGTCCCACTTTTTCCCATTCCCCTCCCCTTCCCCACTCTTCTCCTCTCTATGCTGCATCCTACAGATTTTCGTCCCTCTGTCTTTTATCGCATTTTCTATCCAACATGCAGCATACCGCACCTCCTCTAGGTCAGACCCTTCCTGTGTCTTTAGGTGTTCATTTAATTGCCTCCACATCCATAGGTCTTGTGTCCTGACCCATGGCCATCATCCTGGTATGTTGCCGTCCGTTTATTATTGTTCAGGTTATTAAATTAAATGGTTTGTTCCTGATGTTATTCCCCCATGAGTTGTAATGGTTTTACCCGCTTGTCAGTTTTGTAAACCCCTCCCCTTTTTCCTGAACCTTCCTTGCCCATCACCCTGTTCCTGCCCCTGAATCCCATCAATTTATGTAAACCCCACCTCTTGTTCTAGCGCCTTCCCTGTCATTTATCCCTCACACGAAGCCCCACTGGCATTGTGACTGCCACCCCTCCCACGTGTTATTCCTATTGGTCCCCAACATTGTAAACCCTCCCCCCCAACTCCTCCCCTGAGATGCCCTGATTGGTTCCTGTGTTTGCACCCTCCCCACCTTAAACTGGAGCGCACAGAGGTGCTCCTTGCTCAGACCGTCCTACCCTTGACCTTTCCAGTCCTTCCCCCATCCACTGCTCCCGACCCTGGAATAAAACCTGGTTTCTGGAGAGAACCTGGGACTCTGAGCCTCCTCCTTGCCTTCATCGGGCACCCACGACGCACCTGAGACCGCAGAGCTTGGTAGCTTACAGGCTCTGAAGGTTCGGTCTGGGACAACGAGCTCCCGGACCGTTCCCCACTCCCGGCGCTGCCAGCGGCTAGGGAGCAAGAGCTAGCCAGGGCGAGGAGAGCCGCGGCAGGGGCAGCGTCAGCTGGCGCCCAACGTGGGGCCTCTACAGCCCGTGGAGACCCCCGGAGGAGTCTGTGTGGAGTTATAGAGACTCTTTGGGCGGCGGCTACCCTGGTTGCAGCAGGCCGGTTTCTGTCCGGCAGCGCTCCCAGGGGAAGAAGCGACAATCTCCCTGTGCGCAGGAGACCGCTTCTGGGGTGCTCAGACGTCTCCCACAGCCCAAGTCAGGACCCGGTGAGTATTCCCCGGTGGGGGAAAAGGGGCTGTGTGTGTGGTCCCTGTGAGTGTTGTGTGTGAACTGGGTCTTGACCCTTATTCTTTTGTTTATTAAGTTCCCGTTTGCTGTTGGGAGGCGGTGGAACTGTGGAGCCGGGGGATAGAAGATGGGTGCACGTTTGTCGGCTCCGCAGAGGGGGATTTATTTCCAAGTTGTGGGTCTCCTTGAGGGTGGGAAGCATAAGTATTCGCGCGGGTTGGTTAAGAGGCTTGTACGTTGGCTTTTTTTGTATTTTCCCCACGTGTCCTCCGAAGATGTTCTTTCAGTGTCATTTTGGAATTCGGTTGGGTCCAAATTAACAGCTTTGGTAGTTCAGGGGGACAAAACAGCCGCCAAATTAATCCCTCTTTTCGTTCTAATTCGGACCGCCCTAGTTGAAAAGAGGGAAATGCAGAAGCAGCCAACGCAGCCTTCCCCAGTTTCTACAGTTTCCCCAAACCCCTGCTCCTCGTCCCTTGTCCCTAAGTTGGGGGAGACCTGCGGAGCAACCCATAAAACGCAGGGCTCCGAAGTCGGCAGTAGTCTCCCTGGCTCCCCAAGCCTCCCTCAGAACCCTTGCCCCGGTAGCCCTGGCCAAGCTGCCGGAGCCCTTACCCATTCTCCTACTTCCCCAGTTAATAACTCCAAGTTTTCCCCTTTCCAAGTTCCAAATCCCCAGTTTGATAAAGTTATTGATCCCCAGTTTCTCTCCCAGAACCCTGATTTCCTTACACTCCCTCATTCCCGGTGTTCCCCTAAATCTTCCCCTAAGTCTCCCCATACCCTACCTGATTCCCAAAATGGCCCCCGAGGGACACAAGATGGCAGAGACCGCATGGTCAGACCCCTCCCTTGTGCTCCTTCTTCCCACAATCCCTTCCTCCCCTCAAAGTCCAACCCCTTCCTCCCTAGCTCCTCCTTCCCTTCCTACCCTGACCCCTCCCACTTGCCCTCAGATAGTTCCTCCTCGGGGGTGTGTCCCCAAACTGTTACCTCCCAAAACTCCACCCCTTCCGGCCGCCATTCCTCCCTACAATCCTCCCCCTCAGTCGGTCCTCCAGCCCCGCCTCTTCCGGCTTCTGGTTCCCACGCCCCTCCTCCCGGTTCCCACACCTCCCCTTCCGGTTCCCACGCCCCTCCCACCAGTTCCCACGCTTCGGGAACCGGAAGTGACAGGCCTGAGGACCAGAACCCGGAACAGGTTATAATTCCCTTTGCCGCACCGGTTAGTTTTAGAGGAAGGGGGGGGAGGTACCGAGAATGGGAACCCTTCTCCTTCCAGACAAAGAGGGAGCTGTGCAAGGCTCAGAAGGAGTTCGGCAGGAGAAGTGAATATTTTAAAGGCTTGTTAAAGGCCACCTTCTCCGCGAACGAGATGGTCCCCCACGATTTAAAAGAGTTGTTTGCCTGCCTCCTTTCCCCAGCTGACTATAGGTTGTGGAAACAGAGGTGGAAGAAATCGTTGGAGGCCATCCTTCCTGAGCTGCTGCGCAGCGAGGAGACCGCGGTTGACGCGGATGAAAACCCCCTCTCAATAGATCACCTGTGCAGTGAAGGGAATTGGGGAAAGCCAGAGGAACAAGCCAGGGTCTTACCCCGGTCTGTCCTAATTAAAATAACAGAGGCCGCTGAGAAGGCATTTAACATCTTGCCGGGGGGGGAACCCCTCACGAATTTTTCTAACATTAAACAATCCCCCAATGAACCCTTTAACATCTTTATCAACCGCCTGCAGGAACAAATAGAGAGGCAGGTTGATAAACCAGAGATGCAAGAGGAGCTAATTCTAGAAATGGCCAAGGCTAATTGTAATGATTTTTGCAAGCAAGTCATTTTTAGCCTGCCTCTGTATCCGCCGCCAACCTTGGATGACCTCATTGACGCCTGCGAAAAGAAGGTCCCGTTAATGGGGGCGTCCAGGGTGCCACCACCACCGCAAGCGGCCAGGAGACCACCAACAGCTGCAGTGACCCAGCACCCACCAGGCCAACTACCACCACCAACTGGAAGGCCTCTGCAGTGTTACCGCTGTGGGCAGCTGGGACACATGGCCCGGGATTGCACTGCTATACTTCCCTGCCCTGGACCTGCGAGGGGCAACATGGGGGAAAAAGGGGGAGAGGGAGTTTTTAATAATAAAAAAAACTAGGAGCGCGGTGCGAACCTGCCCCGCGCGAAGCAACAAATGGGGCAGGTATCGCAGAGGGGGGGTGGAACGAAAACCGGACATGGCCTATTCACAGGACGAGACACTTAGTAACAACACGAGACATCCTCCTCCGGTCCCAGCACTGGACGGTAGTAGCTGTGGACCCACTGGAGGGGAAGACAATAGACACCGGACGTGACAGTAAGTGCATCGCCATCGGGGACACCAAGCACACACCCCCGGAGATTGAGATTTCGCCGATCACCTTTTCAGGTGGTCCGGAGAACCTCATTCTCCTGGCGCGCTGCGCTCATCCACCCTTCTTTTTGCCCAAGGGGCAAATCATTGCCCAATTTATACCAATACCTGAGCAGGTCCCAGTAGACGACCACGCACCAGGCGTCTACTGGGCAGAAGTGGTGGGTGAGGAAAAGCCCATTCTGGACTGCAGCGTCAAGCAGGGTGCAGAATCCTTTCAGATGAAAGGACTGCTTGACACGGGAGCGGATGTGACGATCATCCCTGAAAGGAGATGGCCGTCACATTGGGAGTTGCAACCCGTGGCAGGCAAGATACAGGGCATAGGGGGTACCCAATTGGCAAGAATTTCAAAGAGCGTGGTGCAAATTGCGGGGCCGGATGGGCAATTGGCAAATTTACGCCCATTTGTTGCTGACTATCAGGTTCCCCTGTGGGGAAGAGATCTCATGTCCCAGTGGGGGGTTAAAATCGAGATCCCGAAAACCCCTCGGGATTTTTAGAGGCGGCCACTGTAGAGCGCCCTTTCCAGAAATTAGATTGGACAACTGATACAGCGGTCTGGATTGACCAGTGGCCGCTAAGAAAAGATAAATTAAAGGCGCTCAACGAACTCGTGGAGGAGCAACTTAATAAGGGAAATATAGTAGAAACCACAAGCCCTTGGAATTCCCCGGTCTTTGTTATCCGTAAGCCGGGGAAGGATAAGTGGCGGCTCCTTCACGATCTTCGTGAAATTAATAAGGTCATTGTGGACATGGGACCACTTCAACCAGGGATGCCTACCCCTACCATGCTCCCCCGAAATTGGAAATTGGCAGTGATTGATATTAAGGACTGCTTTTTTCAAATTCCCCTACACCCCGACGATGCTCCACGGTTTGCCTTCTCGGTGCCCACTCTTAACCGAGAAGCCCCAATGAAGAGATACCACTGGCGAGTGTTGCCCCAAGGAATGAAAAATTCACCAACCATCTGCCAGTGGTATGTCTCTTCATTGCTGTCTCCCGTTCGCGCCAAAATGGGGGAGGTCATCATCTATCACTACATGGATGATGTCCTAGTGTGCGCCCCCCATGACGATATGCTTACTCAATCACTTGACCTAGTGGTTAGAGTTCTAACATCTGCAGGTTTCCAGCTCCAGGCAGACAAGGTTCAAAGGATGCCACCCTGGAAGTATCTGGGACTGAGGATTACTGAGAGGACCATTGTTCCTCAACAATTGGCTATCAACAGTAATCCAAAGACTTTGGCAGACCTTCACTCCCTGTGCGGGACCTTGAACTGGGTCAGGCCTTGGCTGGGCCTCACCACCGAAGACCTAGCCCCCCTCTTCATGCTTTTGAAGGGGGAGAAGGAGCTTAGTTCTCCTAGGACCCTGACCCCAGAGGCGAAAGAAGTACTAGGGAAGGTGCAAGTTGCTTTAACGGAAAGGCAGGCACATCGGTATGAGCCGACTCTGCCGTTTGAGTGTATCATCTTGGGAAGGTTGCCACACCTGTGTGGGCTCATCTTCCAGTGGGATCAAGGCTCAAGGGACCCACTCTTGATCATAGAGTGGGTATTCCTGAGCCACCAACGATCCAAGAGTATCACCCGGCCACAAGAGCTGGTGGCTCAGCTTGTCAGGAAGGCTAGAGCCAGGCTCAGGGAGATGGCAGGGTGCGACTTTGCGTGTGTACGGGTGCCTGTCAGCTTGTCTCGGGACAGGGCGTCCCCGGATAAGCTGACAAAGGAGATGTTTGAACAGCTGCTGCAGGAGAACGAGGCTCTCCAAATTGCTTTTGACAGCTACAGTGGACAAGTTTCAGTCCATGCCCCAGCACACAAATTCTTTAATGCTAAATTTAACATTATTCCAAGATCAATTCGGAGTCGAAAACTCCTCAAAGCCCTGACAGTTTTCACTGACGCATCTGGAGCATCCCACAAGTCAGTTGTAACTTGGGTGGATCCTCAAACTCAGCGGTGGGAAGCGGATGTTAAATATGTGGAGGGATCTCCACAGGTCGGATGTTAAATATGTGGAGGGATCTCCACAGGTTGCTGAGTTAGATGCCGTTGTCAGGGCCTTTGAGAGGTTCCCTGAACCATTTAATTTGGTCACAGATTCGGCATATGTTGCGGGGGTGGTAGCTAGGGCAGAGAATGCCGCCCTAAAGGAGGTCTCCAATCCGCAGCTGTTTGAACTGCTTTCCAAGTTAATTTTTACCGTTTCCCACCGAAAGCAGCCATTTTTCGTGATGCATGTGAGGTCGCACACAGAGCTCCCTGGCCCGGTAGCTGAGGGAAATGAAAGAGCTGATTCCCTCGCTGCCCCTGTCACTATGGCTCAGCTCCCTGACGTGTTCCAGCAAGCCAGGCTGAGTCATCAAATGTTCCACCAGAATGTGCCTGGACTGGTCCGCCAATTCCACCTGAGGCGAGATCAAGCCAGAGCCATTGTGGCCACATGCCCACACTGCCAGTCCACCGCCATGCCCTCTCTGGGAGCTGGGGTCAACCCCAGAGGCCTGGGGAGCTGCGAGGTATGGCAAATGGATGTCACACATGTCCCAGAATTCGGCAGGTTCCGCTATGTGCACCTTTCCATTGACACCTTCTCGGGTGCTATCTATGCCTCTGCCCACACAGGGGAGAAAGCCGAGCACGTATGTAAACACCTCATGCAGGCTTTCTCTGTGCTGGGGGTCCCCAAAGAGATTAAAACAGACAATGGCCCAGCTTATACCTCCAGGAAACTGGAGGATTTCCTGCAAGAATGGGGAGTGACACACAAGAGAGGCATCCCACACTCCCCCACAGGCCAAGCGATTGTTGAGCGAGCCCATCAATCGCTCAAGCATGTCCTTGTCCGTCAAAGAGAGACGGTGAAGGGCTGCACCCCACAAGAACAGTTGTGCAAAGCCCTTTACACATTAAATTTCTTAAACTGCTCAGATAACGACCCTAATCCTCCAGTGGCCCGGCATTTTCCATCCGCCAGCAGCTACAAGTTACAGCAGCGCCCTCCAGTGCTGGTCCGGGACCCCGAGACCCAACGAGTTATGGGTCCCAAGAGTTTGATCTTTTAGATTCATCCCCGGCGTCATTTTGTGTTCATTTTCGGTATTACCCCTCTGACCCTGCTCCCTATCCTAAAGTGGTGCAAGTCAACCATCAGTTTCAAGCAGCAAGTTGGTGCTTAAATGTTGCCCACGTGAAGATGCCCTCAACCCTCAGCCCTACCCCTCTTCAGTTGCCCAAAGGTTTATTTTTAATTTGTGGAGATCGGGCATGAGCAGGCATCCCCTCTCGCCTTCTCGGAGGGCCGTGCACATTGGGCCAGCTGTCCTTGTTTTCGCCCAACACGACCCAAATTGAAAATTGGAGCCAAAAGAACAATTCGGTTATCAGGAAGTGCAGCCTGGACGAACTAGATCCGGACTGTGACTCAGAAATTTTTCACTGGAGCAAACTAAAATGGGTAGCAGTGTCTGTTTTTCTGCCTTGGTTGGCCGCTGCTCAAGCCCTTGGAGAATTGGGACAATTTGAGTGTTGGGTAGTAAAACAAGCAAATTTGACGTCAGCCGCGCTAAGCGACCTCCTTGAAGACGAGGAAATAACCAGGCAAGCCACCCTCCAAAATCGTGCGGCCATAGATTTCCTGCTGCTCCTGCACAACCACGACTGCAGGGAATTTGAGGGGCTTTGCTGCTTAAACCTGACATCAAAGAGCCCCTCCATTTGCCAGACCATCGAGCAAATGAGAGGCATGGTCCACCAAATAAAACAAGAACATGAAGACTGGGCCGCCAACATTTTTTCCAGCTGGAGACTGTCCGGATGGCTCGCATCCGTCCTAAAGACTGTTTTATGGGTTGTCTTCATCATTTTCATAGTTCTAGTTGCATTCACAGTTTTAAAAAGATGTTTGGTTCAATCGGTTCTACACCTCGTAGCTCCCTCTCCCCAAGTTAATTTTGTCAATGCTCCTTCTCCTCCTTCCTCCTCACCCCCTCCCTCTCCATCACTTAAAGACTGGTTTGTTGAGCCTTCTGCACCCCCCGAGTTTGCAACATCGTCTCTTTGAAAAAGAAAGGGAGAGATGTTGCAGGCAGTCTATTAGTTTTATTTATACAATTCGTTGGTTTGTTCCTGTTGTCCCCCCGCAGTTCTGTGTTGATTTCACCCACTTGTCAATTATTGTAAACCCTGTCCCCTTTTTCCAGATTGTTCCCCATCCATCACCCTGATCCTGCCCCCGAGCCCTATCAATCCATGTAAACCCCACCTCTTTTTCTAGTTCCTTCCCTCTCAACCCTTCCTCAAAGCCCCATTGGTGTTGTAACCGCCGCCCCTCCCACATATTGTCCCTAGTGGTCCCCAACATTGTAAACCCTCCCCCCAACTCCTCCCCTAAGATGCCCTGATTAGTCCCTGAGTTTGTACCCTCCCCACCTTAAATTGTGTCGCACAGAGGTGCTCCTGGCTCAGTTTGTCCTGCCTTTGACCTTTCCAGTCCCTTCCCCGTCCACTGTTCCTGTTCCTTTAATAAATCCGGTTTCTGGGAAGATTCTTGGACTCTGAGCCTCCTCCATTCCTCCACCGAGTACCCATGACATGCTGAGACCGCAGGGCCTGAAGGCTTAAGGGCTCTGAAGGTTTGGTCTGGTACAAACAGCTCCCAGATCGTTCCCCACTCCTGACGCTGCCAGAGGTCAGTGAGGCAGAGATAGCCAGGGCAGGAAAGGCCGCGGCAGGGGCAGTGTCGCCCGCACACTGCTCCACAGCACCCGTGCCACACACCAGCGCCAGGTTGAACTGATTGAGGTAACACCTCTGCTTCGTCAGCCTGGGAACTCTGTTGTGCCACTGACCGTCACTGCTGGATCTGTGTGCCTCTGCGGGTGCTCAGGAAATTTATGTTTCTGGCAATAATTCAGGCTCTTGTGATACCTTATACTGGTGAGGTGAGAGATACTCAAGGTTCAAAGCACCAAGTTCTGCTTCCTTTTTGTTTCTCAGAGGGATGAGGTCAGCCTTCACAAGAAGCTACGCACTGAGGTGATTCAGCTGGAGGACACCCTGGCACAAGTCCGCAAAGAATACGAGATGTTGAGGATAGAGTTTGAACAGACACTTGCTGCCAATGAGCAAGCAGGTATGTTGTTGTGCTGTGCCTAAAGACAAACACCACCTGCCCACCAATGCCCATTAGGGGCTGCAGTGCACTAGAACACCTGGCTTGATTCTTTGTTACTGTTAAATACTTTTTCTGGCAGATCTCTTCATCTCAAAAAACAAAGCGCTTCACCTGTTTTATTGGGAGGCCAGTTCCATGTTGTCTGACTACCTTCTCGATGCTGCATAATAGATAGATTTTGCTAACATTTTGGTTTATGACAGGATATTTTACATTATTAAAAATTACTTGTGGGGGGAGGATTCATTTCCAAGTAAGGATAATCTGGATAGCAAAGCAGTAATTCTTAAATTTCATCAGAAGAAATAAATTACTTCCGAAGTAGCATTTAAATCAGACTTCTATTGTAACATGACAGGTTTCCCATGGGATCATGGGTATAAAAATAATGTTAAGTGGGAACTTAGGACTGTGAATTTGCAAGGATTTACGGTTGCGTATAAAACTGGCGTGACTTTTTTTCTGCAGGTGCAGTCTGCTGCTCTGTTGTGTTGCAGAATGATAACAATCTTATTTTGTCCTTTGCCATTGTCACCTTGTTTTCCATTTTCATGAAAGTCTCCAAGAAGGTGGACAAAAGTGGGGTTTGTTACAGAGGTATTTCTGTTTTTGCAGGCCCAATTAATCGGGAGATGCGTCACCTCATCAGCAGCCTCCGAATCACAACCACCAGCTGAAGGGAGAGGTGTTGAGATACAAGCGCAAACTGAGAGAGGCCCAGTCTGACCTGAACAAGGTAACACAGCAGGAATTCCAGAAAAGAGGGGAAAGTGCTTAGGAGAAGGGGGAGCGCTGTCACCCTTGCCAGCAATATCAGCCTTTCTGATACACTGTTCAGGATGCAGTGA